CCAGTACTGTGTACTGTGTTACCCTTCACCAAAGTTACTGCTTACCTATTGTCTATTTAGTATTTCCGCCTCCCATCCCTGGTAACCAACAAAGATTGTTTCTTTTTGTGTGTAAACTTTTTCATGACTTTTTACAGTGGAGGTCTCATATAATATTTGTCCTTTTGCTATTGACTTATTTCACTCAGCATAATGTCCTCCAGTTTCATCCATGTTATCAGATGCTTCACAGATTCATCACTGTTCTTTATCGTTGCATAATACTCCACTGTGTGTACATACCATAGTTTGTTTATCCATTCATCTGTTGATGGGCATCTAGGTTGTTTCCATCTTTTTGCTACTGTGAACAATGACGCAATGAACATAGGTGTGCATATGTCTATTTGTGTGACAGCTCTTATGTCTCTAGGATATATTCCTAGGAGTGGGATTGCTGGATCGTATGGTATTTCTATTTCTAGCTTTCTGAGGAAGGATCATATCATTCCCAAAATGGTTGTATCATTATGCATTCCCACCAGCAGTGCATAAAAGTTCCAGTTTCCCCGCAGCCTCTCCAACATTTGTTATTTCCAGTTTTTTTGATTTGTGCCAGTAATGCCAAGGTGAGATGGTATCTCATTGTGGTTTTAATTTGAGAAAAATTCTGAATTTAAATAGTGAAATACACTCAATTATTCAGAGTTCCTAAGTGGTCAGAAAGACAAGATGAATTCACAATAAATGTCCAAATCACTCCTGCTGCCTTCGTGGGTACAGTTCTGTCTCCAATGCCCTGGAGAGGGGCTCCCTGATGGAAAGGACCTGAAGCTCAGTTAGCATTTCTAAATTTAACAAACTGACCAATAATTCTCTCTGCATCCACCCTTGCCCTCCCTGGTGTGGTATTGCTATTGATTGCCATTAATGATTTAGTGATTAAGGAGGATAAATTGCCTATGAATGCAAAGCAGGCTGAAGGGCCCCCAGGAGCGGAGCTGAACATGCTTTTATCAATAAGTACTGTCCATGCTGCTATACTTTCCAGCCCAGTGTCCTTTTGCCCTTTGGACCTCACTTCTGCATGGTGCAACGCTGTCAGTGCTCTTTCTCTCCTCCCGCTCTTTTGATGACTTGTGAGGACTGACTTCTCTTGTTTTCTTTTCCACTTGGGCAATGGTCCCACCCCTCTCTTTTTACCTACTTGCCAGCTGCCAGACTGTATTTCTATGAGTCCCCTGTCATGAATTAGCATAAGCAAGCACACGCTGCAGGTGATTGTCAGACGAATTGTATCTGGCAGGTTGAGGGGGGAGGTTCTTCATACAGGTTTGCTTTTCAGGTTATGCCCTGGCTGCTAGGCTGGGAGGAGCACACAGTGAGGAAGATGAGGAGATGATCTCTTTCTCGTGTTTCATAGACAATCCCGGGGAGATCTCTGTGTATAGTAATTTAAGAATGTAAAAAATTACTATCTTAAAAGCTGATGGCAGAATTTTTTTGGAGGGAATGATCTTGGAAAGTGTGCAACCCCCAAAAGCATGATTGTTGAAAATTAAAAAAAACAAAGCAACAAATCCATTGCCGTCTAGTCGATTCCAACTCATAGCCACCCTATAGGGAAGAGTAGAAGTGCCCCATAGGGTTTTCAAGGAGCAGCTGGTGGATTTGAAGTGTGCAGCAACCAAATAAAAATGCCGGCTGTACTGCTCTGCATGAGAGAAGAAAGAGAATTTGCTCCTAAGAGAGAATGGGAGAGAAGAGTTTGCAGAACAAGGGGGTGGGGAACAGGTGAGAGAAAGATGATTTTAAGAAGAGTAAATTATACTTTTCTTTTTTTTGTGAACAGTGGTACTCTAAGTGTGGTCCTCGCCTCAATATCAGCATCTTCTGGGAACTTGTTAGAGATGCAAATCCTCAGGCCCCCGCCCAGACCTACTCAATCTGAGTGCTGCACAGCAATCTGTGTTTGAACAAGTCCTCCAGGTGGTTCTGATGTGCACTGAGTTGGAGAACCACTGAGTCAATCTTTCCTCCTCTCATCTTCTACATCAAATTGCAATTAACATCAACCACATTCACAGATGCTTTGTGACTGTTTTTGTTATTGCTGTTGTTGAATGTGAAGACGGGTCGAGTTTCTCGCCTGGATTGGCATAGGTGTCAGCACTGTGGGAAATAGGATTCCCAGAAGCAGAGATGGCCATAAGGACAGAGATTCTCATGGGATTTGCAGAAATGTTTAGATTTTCACTGGTCAAGGAGCTAACGGGATTATCACAATTATCCCTGTGTTCTGGGAGCAGGGGCCCACCTGTGATGCTTCTCTAATAAGCTCACTTTCCACTCCCTAAGTAAGATCTTATGTCTTCTCTGTCAAACCCCTAATAGTCCTTTCTCATTCCTCGTTCTCAACAGATGACTTTGCTTTAGACATCGCCCTCCTTCCACTGAAACTAGAAAACCTGCACCTTTGCCAATCTTCTCCTACTTCTCCACCTATTAAGGGCCCTTCACCTGGTCCCTGGATACCATCCACCCAAGGATTTCACTCCTAAGTCAGGTTATTCGACTATCTACCTCCCAACTGGTTCTCCTGTAAAGTCAGTTGTGTCAGGTAACACAGCTAACACTTTTACCTCTAGGAGAGTGGACACAGAAGTTGAAATGTATGTAGACAGGTACTGCATCTTACACAGACAATGTGATTCAGAAAAGCTGTGAACAAACCAAAGCCTGGGTAAGTCATATTATTCTCTAAATACCCTTAGGTGCTGGGTAGTTATATGAAGCTTGTGGCTTCCTTCTGTAATGCAAAGAAAGTCAATAACAAACTCCTGATTTATTTATTTCCTAAGTATGGATTTTTTAAATATAATTTTCTTACAATGAGCCACCTGCTACATACTTCTCTGTCCCAGTCTCCTTTGCTGCTTCCTTCTCTGCCAGGCTCCTAAATGATTAAGCCTTACCCGTTGCCATAGAGTTGATTCCAACTCATAGCAACCATATGGGACAGAGAAAAAGTGCCCCATAGGGTTTCCAAGGAGCAGCTGGTGGATTTGAACTGCTGATCTTTTGGTTAGCAGCCAAGCTCTTAACCACCATGGCACCAGAGCCCGGATTAAGGCTTAGATCTTTGATATATTTTTAGGCTTCATACTATCTCCTCTTTCCTTCTTTTTCTACATTCTCTCCCTAGGTGCAGATAACTCCCAAATTTGCATCTGTAATCCTCACCTCTGGATTCACACATCTAGTTACCTACTTGTCATTTCTAATTGGGTATCTACATATCTCCAATTTAACATTTTCAGAATCTGTTTACCTCTAGACCTCCACTCCCCTCAATCTCTTTCATCTCTGTAAATGGCATGTTTGAACTGCACAGGCCCAGCCAACATCTCATGTTGCTGTTAACCTTGAACATCTGTCTGACAGATAGTGTTGGGTAGAAGATAACGGGTGAAGAGTATAGGATTAGCTTGGTGCCATCTATCAACATTAATGGAAAAGATAATTCAAAGCAAAGATCAGTATGATCCAGGTTTATGTTATATGTAAATAGAAAATATTGTTATCCATTTACTGTCAATATCTAGATCAGATCAATCCTGAACAAAATGCAATTCTCACAAACAAGGGTCATTCAAAATCAGCAAAAACATGGATTAATTTTGAAAGATACTGGAGAGCAATGCACTGGGATAGGATGATATGGAAAGTTCCTTGCCCCTACCTCAGCTTGTATATGTTTCATTGCCTTGTTTCCTAAGATCTGAACATGGACCTTTACCCATCGATGCTGCTGCAAAACTGACATCCACTTCTGTCTGGAACTTCAAATCTGCCCCATATCAAGTATGGAAGCAAGTGGAGGGGGGCAGGGGCAGAAGGGCAGAGATGGGGATGGGGAGAAAATTCTGTGTGCCTGAGATTTTAAACTGAACTCATAGAAAAATTGTTGAACTTGGCTTTGTTTATTTGGGTATGACTAGATTAAGTTTCTACAGCACACAGAAGACTCGAAATAGCAGTAGAGATTAAGTTGTATTATAATCAAAACAAAGTTACATGTTTGAACAACCGGAGGTATGACTTTTGAAATTTGTACCTATTATGCATATAAACCAACTTATAGGATACTTTAGACATTCAGGCTTCCTGCTGTTGAATTAGGGAGATACAAAAGCAAGTTCCTGATGGACAAGGTTGACTTTATTCTGTTTTCCTGAAGTCAGAGTCAAGGATCCTAATTGTTTTGAAAGTCAAGTTTAATAAATCCTTTTTTTTTTTTTTTTACAGAGCCATAGTATACATACCAGCTATAAAATCAATGTGTATTTTCACAATCAACTAATTGTGCAACTTTGTGTGATCTTTGATTAATTCCTGGAATAAATGTATGGCAGCATTAACTTCACATATACAGGTTTTACCCTCCTATATGCACACTGAGCACAGATTTTGCATAATATCTTTTTTTTTTTTTTAATAATAGAAAATGCAGCTATGTAGGACAGGGAAATTCTTCTAGAACAATCCTGCTACCCTTCCAAAAACAGATGTATTGAAAATATGTGAACTATTGTTTATTTGTGATAAA